ACCGAAAGTCTAGTCGGGGACTGTGACTATGGCGGTAATGCGAAGCTCTCAAGTCAGAGCTTTCGGTGTGAAGGTAGAATGTAGTCCCTTCTGAGAGGGCTGACCTTTGCTTATATAGTGACTGTCTGGTCTCCCAATCCTGGTAGAAGTAAGAGTCCTAGTATGACTCTAATGCAAACCCTAGAAGAATTAGGGCCTTGGTAAGTTGTCTTAACAGTGTCCGAATAGGAAGGTGATTCTGATTAGGAGAGTAACTTCGAGCAGGAAAGTGATTAGGAGTAGAAAAGTATTTTGAGGGGGCCGTGGGCTCTGGATTCACCCATGGACCTAGGAAATGGACTGGGATTAGGAGGCTCGTGCCCACGTGGTTTGGGCAGGGTATACATTGTATCGAATGGGCCTAATCCGGTAGGATCATATCAAGATTGGGCCTGACTTCTTCTTCTTCATTGTCGCGCCCGTTTTCCTATTTGGGTCAAGGACGATTTTTGGCCCTAACAGCAAGTTTAGTGGGTGCAGAGCTAGAGGATGGTTCTCCTGCTCATGTTATGGGTGATAATGTCTTCCTAGGAAATCAATCTTGAGATTTAAAATTTTCAGCATAGGCAGAATGGAGTATGATTGATTAGCTAGCATTGCAAAATCAGGTTGCAGCATTCAAAATACAAGTTAAAAGAATCTGTCATGCTGAATTCAATTACAGGTAGAACTTTCATAAAGTTAAGGATTCTTGTCTTAATCTTTGTATATATGATTTGGCATGAAGCAGTTTTTGCTGTGCCATGCCTCTGGTCCTAGAAGGCTCTGCTTCGCCTAAATTATCACTAGGGCTCAATTTGTACATGTACATATATTTTTCATATTTACCAACTCTCGATGTAATTCATTTGACAAAAAATAAAGTGTGTTTTTATTGTTTATTTTCAATTATATTAGGATTTAGGCATTTGATATTGTTACACGTGTTCCAATTATACCAAATTGATCCTCTAAAACTACGCCCATTGTTTATGCAAAACCAGAAGAGTGGTATGGAAGAGTCAGAGACACAGTTGAAGGTACTCCTCAAAATGTGTGCACAACACGCTCTCCGTGATTGGATAAAAACGTACCTGAACCTGCAGGGTGTCAGTGATTGAATGCTCTCAATCTGTCAATTCTGCCTTGTAAATTGCTCGCGTAGAACAAACATCCCAGAAACCTACGCAGTTAATTTTACCCTAACATCATTGGGCCGTGTTAGACACGCCATAATAACGCGCTTGGCGAACTACTTCCGGCAGCAAAAAAAAAAAAAACGCGGGAGGACGTGAAAATAGGATTGTAATAGAGTTGAATAAAAATTTGGGGTATAGGAAACGACTAATGAGATGGGAGGAGGGCAGAGTGATGATTGGGTGAGGGTCAAGGACACGTTTGCCATTTGTACGGCTATTAATCTTGGGAAGTTAAATATAAATATATATTTGAGGCAGATAGGTTAAAAAGAAAGATAAGTGTGCATGTATGGTGATTTGAAGGTAGGGTTAGGGTTTGCAGGAGATTCCCTCATTCTGTTGAAAGGTTGGTTAAAATAGAATATGAAATAATTTGAGGTTGAGGAGGGTTTGTTTTGCTTAGTGAGATGAGTTTGGCGGGAAATTTGGGGATGAAAAGAAAGATTCTGTCCGTTGTGTTTGATTAAATTTATTTATAGAAGTGATGTAAGTTGCATTGATAATTGTGCTTAAGCATAACTCATTTGTAATTGTACGAAAAAGCCCTAAATTTGGGAAAATAAAGGGGGAGATAGCAATGGCATCTTGTTGTAAGAGATTTTGAGTTTTTCAAGAAACTAACCACCTAATATTTCTAATAATTTCACCAATCTTTTCATTTAAATGATTAATACTATATTTAATTGATAATTCAAGTTTAATGAAGGTTAATTAGAGTGTTGGTTGGTGTTGGTTCCATCATCATTACATCCACTTGCTTCGAATGTTCCAATAATATTTAATCCAATTTCAATTTCCATCATTTATTCATTATCAATTATAAAACAAATACAAGTATTTAGGCTTCTATTTGATTGCCGATTGGGAATATTACTTTAATTATTTTCAAAAAAAGTTAAACAGTAAAGTATCCAAAAATTTTGATCCTTAAATATTATTTTAAAAATTATAAAAATACCTCAATAATCCACATTTACCAGATTCTGACCACCATTGTCGAAAAATGGTCGGAATCTGTTAAGATAGCGCACTACCGGCTAAATTTGGCCAGTAGTACGCCGATCTAGCCTTTTCCGGTCAGATCCACGGTGGATCTGGCCGAAAAAAGCCAGATCTTTGACCGTAACAGTCGATAACAACAACCAACAAACGGTCGTCGTTGACGAGCAAATATGACTGAATCTAATCGAAAAATGTCATATCGGTGCACGACCGGCAAGATCCAGCCAGTCATGCGTCGATACGGCGAATTCGGTCACCTTCCGGCGGTGGTGGCCGGCTGTCCGTATTTGAGGGTGGGTTGGGGGTATTTTTGTTAACTTTTAATATTTTATTATAGGGAGTGTTTTGTAAATAAACAAACATAGGGGGTATTTTATTAATTTATAAATCCTACATCGTAATACCCGCCCAATCCAAACTTTTTTTAACTTTTTTCTAAAAACTTTTCCCAAAAACACCCATTGTGAACCAATCGAAGCCTTAAATACCATTATTTCTAAAATATTATTCTATATTTTTTAATTTCTTTTAAATCTCCTAAATTTGTTAATTTAATTAAACACTCCCAAATATTTTTTTTTAGAAATTACAAAAACACTCCAGCCACCCTCCAGCGGTGGTGATCGACTGTCCGGATTTAATGGGTGGATTGGAGATATTTTTGTTAACTTTTAATATTTTATTATAGGGATGTTTAGTAAATAAATAAACATAAGGAATATTTTTTTAAATTTCTAAATCCTATGTCGTAATATCCGCCTAGTTTAAATTTTTTCAAAATATTATTCTAAAAATAATAATGAACCAAACGTACCCTTAATCTCAGCATTTCAAATTTAATTTACTCTCCATGCATCCAGTTAATTAACCCTCTTTTCTTTGACTTTTGGAGCCTTCTTCCAAGATGAAATACCCACATCATTTAATCATGCATACTATCATTACAATCACCACATGTAAAATGAGTTGTTTTTTTTTTTGCACGCCACTTTTCTCTTCTTAAAGTCAATAAATCTTTTGGTGGTAAAAGATTAGATTCTGGTGATTGAGATTTATCAGAATTTAACTTGAGAGTGACGGTTACTCAAACCCTAATCGCTCGATTGTTAGTGATTGATAGGATTGACGGAAGTTGGGTTTAAAGTAGTGACAGATCCAGGATTTTTGTCAAGGGGGAGCCTCCGCGGCTCCGTCATTGTTTGCTAAACAACTAATAAAAACTTTAAAAAAATCACCAAACTTTAAGTAAAGAAAATAATACAATATCAAGAACCTGAGAAAAAAGAATGCAATAACACAATACTTTTCTACTTGAATAAATTTATGAGAAGCAAAATTTTGAGTAAATGTGTTAAGTAAACCTTAAGCAAAACCTTATTTTAATTTTAATTTTTTTTTTTTTTTTTTTGTTTTCAAAGATTATAATATAAATTTCATGACTTTGACCAGACTTAACATAAGCTAAAGTCAACCAAAACTTAAATCAAATCAAAATTGCATTGACTTTTAATATGAATTAATAAAAAAAAAAAATTCTTGATATATACATAGATAGTAGCTCAAATTTCTTTATTTATTTTGATTAGCAGAACGGTGACATTTGAAATGTAGGAAAATGGTGGGTGAAGGGTAAAGAATAACGTCTTTTAAAATATAGTTAAAGTTTTAATTTGGGAAAGCAAGTTCATTCTCAGACACAAAACACAAATAAACTCACATGATCCATGTCTTTTCCCCTCAAATTATAATTAAAAACCTCAAAAAAAAAAAAAAATTTGATTCAACCCTAAAATAAACTAAATTGAAATGAGTAATACATATACCTAAAACTGATAAAACCAAAAACAAAGCTAATTGTGACACCTTGAGTAGTGAAAGCTTCAACAATTTTGGTTTTCAAAAGTTTTAAGATCGAATTACATGAGGAGGAGAAATAGAGAATGAGAGAGTAAACAATTTTTGGGATTAAATCATAAAAAATATGTGGAGCCGAAAGAAGAGTGGAGATAATTTTAAACTTTTAATATGATGTGGGTTTGGAATATATATATTAATAACAAGTTTTTTGTAGGCCTAGATATATGTGTAATAATTCTTATTTTTTTAAAATTCAAAGGTGGACCTACGTACATATATTAATAACAATTTTGTGGGACTATATATTAATAATTTTTTTTTAAAACTTGAGTGTAGGCTTGGGCATTTCCTCAAAGGGATTGAATCTGTCCTGGTTTAAAGAATTTTGATGAATGATAATTGAAGAAAAGAATAATAGTGATAAGAGAACTTAACAATATTCAAATCAGAAAAGGATTATAAACTTAGATAATAAAATAGTATTTTCGGATGAAAAAGGTTCGGCCAAACGATTATTTATGTGAAAAAACAGCGGGTAACTCTTATTTGAGCCATGCTTATTAAATGTTCAAAATATTGAGATATTGGAGAATTGAGAAAATGAAAATATCGTGATAAGATAACTCTTCTCTAATTCTCTTAACCCCAACCCCAACCCCAACCCTAACTTTACTTTCTCATCTCTCTCTTTCACCCTTCCTCTTTCCCTCCTCCCACTCATTTCTCTCTTTCTTACATAAACACACTCACTAAAACACACTTGGTCTGCTTGCTTACTCACTTATGGTCTCTGTCTCTGTCAATCTCTCTGTGAACAAAATCAAAACCTNCGGGAGAATTGAGAAAATGAAAATATCGTGATAAGATAACTCTTCTCTAATTCTCTTAACCCCAACCCCAACCCCAACCCTAACTTTACTTTCTCATCTCTCTCTTTCACCCTTCCTCTTTCCCTCCTCTCACTCATTTCTCTCTTTCTTACATAAACACACTCACAAAAACACACTTGGTCTGCTTGCTTACTCACTTATGGTCTCTGTCTCTGTCAATCTCTCTGTGAACAAAATCAAAACCTAAGACTCAAAAATCAGTGAGAGATAACAGTATGGGTAAGTACATGAAGAAATCAAAGATCACTGGAGACGTTGCTGTGATGGAACTCTCAACCGGTGTCCTTACAAGAGCTAAAACCCTTGCCTTGAAACGTCTCCTTAAACCCTCTCCTCTACCTAATCCACATGACACTTCTTTTTCTTCTTCTTTCTGCTATCTCCAGCTCAGAAACCGACGCCTCGAGAAACCCCCACCACCTTGCAAACAACTGCAACCCAAAGACAAAACTTGCAAACCACAAAACTCTGACACTGACTCTACCTCTAACTCAATACCAAATTCTAGCCTAAGGTTGAACTCCCTTCGCTCTGGCTCAGTTGGCGTTGGGTCGGTTCCACTCGGTTGTGATGACAGGGATGTGCAGGGGCCTTTTGGTAATAATGAATTGATGGAGAATGATGTTAATGAAGTCGCCGCTGAGGAGGCCTCTTTTGGAGAAAATAATTTGGAGCATGAACCCAGAGACAGGTATAAACGCCTCTCCCGCTCTCCCTCTCTCCCTTATTTTTTTTTTAAAAAAAAAAAAAAATTAGCTTTCAATTGCTGGGTATGAACTTTCTGGTACTGTTCCATATTCGTTGCTTTTGTTTATGCTTTTTCATGGATTTTCGGGGGCTTGAAATTTTTAGTTCTTTGGTATTTCATTTGACTTGTTGGGTGGCTAAAAGAGTAAAACTTTCGCTTGAGAGTTTTCATTTAAAAAGGATTTACCCCCTCACTTTCATCTTGTACTAGCCGTTTTAGATTTCTCTACTCAGAAGCAGAAAAAAATATACTATTTTTATGTATGAAAATTTGAAAATATAATTATTTTTTTTGTCAAAAATGTTGCAAAATATTTTTCGCCCCTCTTCTGTTATCCTTTTTGGTACTTCAAATCTTTAGCTGGAATATAAGAGTGGTATGTTCCTTTTATAATTTCTGAAGGTGGCTTCATTCATTTGTTATGTTTTTATTTTTGGGTTTTTAGTCATCTCGTTGTTATGTTCTGTTTATGTTTACTGATATTAGTTCCCTTCGGGTTTGGAACTCAGTTTCTTGTGGATTTGGGATGTGAAGTTCAAGTTACAATGAGTTAATACAAATGTGTTTCCTGGTCATTTTTTTCCCCTATTTTAAAGAAAAATAATCTCACTTTATTTGAGGGGTTTGTGTTATGATCTGTTTCTGTGTTTTCGTTATTATTGTGATGTATTGATATTTTTCTTTTCTGTTGCATGTTTGCTTTGTCAAATGTCTAGCATCAAAGTTAGTCACTTTTTACATGTGAGAGATCAATTTAATGCATTATATTTAGTCTTTGTTTCTGACTGGTACCTCTCAGCTTATGTTTACATGGTGTGAAAACTGATTGAGTTGTCCTTTGTATATTAGGGCTTTTCATGACCTCTGTATCAGGTTTCATAATGTCGGCGATAGTAGTTCTGAGACCTTTATTAATTTGTTTTTTTATCTTTTAAACCGTTTCATAATTTCGGATGAAAGAATTAGTGATAAATAGAAAAGTTAATTTATATCTGGGTTGTACATGGTACGAAAATAGGAAAAAAATAATTTGATTACTGGGTATGGATTCATTGTATTCTTAGGTTTGCTTGTCCTTGCTTCCTTTTATTTGCCAAATTATTTAGCTGAAACTTCGCAACTTTTATATATATTATGGTAAAGTAAGAAAGATAATTGACCATTTATTGCAGCAGTGGTAGCCATTACTTTTCTGCCTTATTATTGCTACCATTGACATATGGGACTCCTGGGGCCTAGTTACAGACTGAAACATGTATGTGGGATACTCTGTTCTGTGGCTAACATTTTGTGACAAAGGATTGCAGAATTCTTCCTTTTTATTGTATTTTTACTGTGCCAAATTGAAGCTACTCTTAATGCTTGTCAATTTTTAGTTTCGTTCAACTCTATTAGGGATATTGATCTTGCTTGCTGTTTTTTCAATCAGCACTGAGTGAATATTAGTATTTTTAATTGAAATTTTGTAGATTTGTTAAGTGAATGAGCTAAGTTGAGTTTATGTTCCTTTATAGATAATTATTTTTTAATTGTGGGTTGCTATGCAGGAGCTCTAGAGAAAGCACGCCATGTAGCTTGATTAGGGGCTCAGATGCCATCAGAACTCCCATTTCCACCACTAGACAAATTAGATCAACTTACCGTGGAGGCCAGAATGACATGCAGAGAATTATACCGACACCACGCGAACTGGAGGAATTTTTTGCCTATGCTGAGCAACAACAACAGAGATTTTTTATGGAGAAGTATGCTATTGTTATTATAATATATGTGCATAATAGTGTTTGGTACTTTATATATCCATCAATGAGGTTATTTCAGCTGCATTAGTGATGATGGTTCATTTGCTGAGTGAACATTTTTTTTATTGTTTTTGCAGGTACAACTTTGACATTGTGAATGATTTGCCGCTCCCGGGACGTTACGAATGGGTGCAAGTGTTTCCATGAGAAAAACTCGTTAAATTTGTAGTTCTTGTCCCAGCGACTTCTTAATTAGTAACTCTCACAGGGCTTTGAAGGAAGTGGCTGGGATGAGCCAGTGACTTATAATCCTATCTTCTATGTTCATGTAAAGAGTGATTGAACTAAGATGTGTAATTTAAGGATCTGAAACTAACAGAACTTATGAATTACACACTAACCAAAAATTCAAGGGAAAGAAATAATGTCAGGATGTGTAGTTTAGGGTTTTATGGTCTCATCACTGTAATTTCAGGATGTGTAGTTTAGGGTTTTATGGTCTCATCACTGTAATTTCGTAGGGTTATATCTAATTTCTAGATTTTCTTTCCTGTCTTCTCCCCTTGAAAGCTTCACTTTTGTCTATACTTAGGTAGGATTGCACCATGGATGCACTGGAAATAAATGTAACTCAGTCGTCATTTTAATGTTTTTGTCTTTACTTTCGTTTTTATTCCCTGCATTTTTCATAATGCCTCTGATGTTTATGACATAAAAACACCACAGGCACTTTTAATGTAGTTTTGATGCTGATGTTTCCCTATATGTAAATTTAAAGTTAGATTGTTTTTGTCTTAGTTGCTTTGACCTGTTGTTGGAATAGAAGTTGATATAGAAGTTGATGTGTTGGTGTGGTCAATGCCATTAAGGACAGTGGATTGGTTGGTTGGTTTAACCAGCTTGAATTACTGGTTTTTCCCTTGATTTACTTTAACCCTACTCTTCAACATTTTCCACCAATGATATTTTGGTAAAAAATCTTTAATTTTCTTTTTTGGGTGATGGAAGTGTTTGAGCTGGTTTGGACACATACTAATCTTCTAGATCTAGTGAGTGTTCTCCAAGTTTAATAAGTCAACTTAAGTCTTGAGTCAGTAAGTCTTAAATATGATAGCTGCTACAAGTTTAATGAGTCAAGTAAGTCTTGAGTCAGGTTTTGAGACAGCTGATTATTTGAGACCTGAACAAAAGACCTCTGATTAATTTAAGTCTTTTCATACTCATATCATAGTCAGGTGGTTTCTGTAAGCTTCATGTTAATTCTTTTCCCCCATTTTCGTATTTACAGTAGTAAATCACTTTGTTTTATAATTGTAATACGGTCTGTAATTTGAATGAGTTACTGGTCCCTTGAGCTTGTTTGGTCATTTGGGTATCAAAGATAATGATGTTGGTGGGGTTATTGTAGCAGTCCTAAATTGTTGTGCAGTATTATCTTACTTCAGGTTCTTCCTGACAATAGATTTTAATGAAATTTGGTTTATTTTACTCTTAAAAAACTTATGGTGGTAAAGCCTTTACAAACTTGCAAGTGGGCGTGACCGCAGAGAACCTTATGTCATTGTGTGAATCAATTTAGGTACTCAAGACTCACATGGGGCCTTGTACGGTTGTGCAGAAATTGTATCACAGGTTGCTTGTTGCTACAAGCTTCAACATAGATTTTGATGATGTCCTCTCTTCTATTTTATACTCTATACTTTGTTTTATCCTTTGTACTCTTACCTTGTTGAAGAGTGGAAGGGACCCAACTGCACACTTCTGCACCTCTCTGTTATTGTAAGGTTTGGTATTGATTACCCCAAATAGCACATGTCACTATGACTCTATGCTTACATGACACTTCCAATCTTTTCTCTCACACATTCCCCTTTTTTCTTTTAGTACAAACATTTCATTTGAAAGTTGAATCTCAACACATGCGTAACTTTTGCCTCTTTTAAATTTCATCTTCTAATCTTTTGCAACATTGCAGTTTCATTTTTGCAGCTTATGTCATGCTTGGCTCAGGGGTGAACTCGAGAATGATATTCTTGAGTTGAAGTATTTGCCATGGACAGTTCATCTGAAAATATTGGAGTGTTTTGTGGATTTGAACAAAATGCAAAGGATTTCAACCATCTTAAAAAACTATTTCAGCAATTTACAAAGGGAATTCGAGAAACTACTTGTGGTTTGAATGCGAACCAGTTGTAATTAACTGGTGTGGTTATAGATGACAGCTCTAAATCCATATTAGTCTAAAAGTCTGGTCAAATTTGTATGTATTCCAATCCAAGTAATGAATTGCTGATACTTTGATAACTTAGTTTTAGAAAATTGCTGGTAATTTAAGCAGCTGGGGAATTAGAAAGCATCTGGTTCTGTCTTCTTTTCTATGCAACATTAAGAGTGATTGCCCGCAAGGTTAAGTAGTACATAAACAAAATAATAAAATATAAAACATGTTTTCTATACCCCTTGGAAAGACTTCAAAGTCTTTTTACATTTCAGTAAGCGAAACGCAAGGTTATAATAACAAATCCCAGGATTACTGATTGACAAACAATCGTAGGTTAAGCCCGGTAAGAACAGAATAAATTCTTACCAGATCACACCTTCAATGATCCTAAGTTAGGCCTGGGCCCAAAAACCAAAATATTATATGTGTGTTTATTTGGTTTTTAAACTGAAAAGGACAAGCATTCCTGTAGTAGGTATAATAGAGTAACACAGTATGTAATATGTATCAACCCCAAATGTACAAACAAAACAATGGGAATAGAATTCTAGGGCCAGCCAATACAATCAAATAATCAACCCAGTTCCAGAGGGCATTTGAAATTCATAACTTAATTTTTGTTATCTTTGTTTATTTCTCATCTTGAAAAATATACATAGAGAAGACTGCTTCCATTTTCAAAATGAAATAACTCTATAGCAAAGCAAGAATTAGTTATTAAGCAAGACATGTTTTTTTAAAAAGAAAAATAGTTTCATGGTGCAATAAATAAGCAGCTTAAAGTTATCATGGTACAATACAATGGAGGTTAAATTAGAGCCATTAATTAAATTGCAACTGTATGCTGTAACTATTATTTTACAAATGAAAAGAATCGATAATAAAAAGAGACATGACCAGCATAACCACCTGCCAGAATGCTTTTGATAGTGTCTTGAAGATTAACTTCTGAGAAATTTTTGACATTTAAGTATCCAGTCTAGCAAGATTGTCTTTAGAAAGGCCATGTTGAGATTCCTTCAAGATCCAAATCGAAGTTCTGTATTTCTAACTGTCAAATCCCCTCCAGTAACTATAAAATGATCTGTTTGGAAAACCAAAATAAAGCCGCGTGAGTTCACATCCAATGTCAAAAGACACTGACTTGATACATCGTTATGAAAAGTAAAAACAATGAACTTTGCATGTTATTTAAACACAAGAAATACATGGATATGTTTATGAAGCCATGTTTTCCAAGTAATAGAAGAAAATACCAGTTCATCTCAATTTCTATGATGCAAATTATGATTTCATGGAGTGGGGGGAGATAAGTTTGCTGCTTGCTTTGTTTCTGCCATTTCAACTTCATATGCACTGCTATCTGATGTTTTTTCATTTTCCACAGCCATGCTTTTGAGTTTAGCTACCCGTACTGCCTGGAGCTCGTACCTGGAAATTAACACAAGTCACATCTTGAGTGTTATAGATGTGTCAGTTTATGTGACTCTGTGTGTAGAGAGAGGGACATCAAGGGCAATTTCAGTTTTGAGTTGCAAGTTCTTCCATCAGTTCAGAATTTTTTTGAAGTACATACGGACTTGCTTAGTGTATGAATATAATAACCTTATGATTTGAACTGCTATATTACAATCCAAAGTACGTAATTTATAATATTTCTGCCAATCTTTACTACAAGTAGATCATAAAAAAAATTTGACATAGGGACCAAAGATCTTGCAGAGTATTTAGGAACATTGTCCACTCAGAGGCAAATACTTCTCTAGGCTCACAATATGATCTATCTACGACCTCATAGTATGCTTTTCCAAAGTCCATAACAGAAATTAAGATCATTGCACAAAACTTTACATCAATTGCCTTCTAGAGGATATACACACTCATATTTGCACCCAGCCATTCCTTTAAAAAAATGCTCTTTAGCAGAAAGCCAGATAAAATTCAATAACTTTATTCCGTAGTAGAATCAATACTTTCACAACCCAGCACTTTGGCCCTCAAATTAGTATAAGTTTTCTTTCCGCAAATCCTGCAAATCCATAATTTTCTCTAAAAACTAACTACCAGGTTACATTGTCATCAAGTATTACATTTGTAAGCCTTAATGGGATTACTTTAGGATCATGAGACTTTCATGTAACATTTTCTTTATGTTTTTCCATTTCACTTGTCCTGTACTCACACACATCTACTTTTCTATGCTCTAAAACCCTTAAGTGTAATGCCATCTCTTAACCACTTACTGTATGCAAACTTCAATAATGATTAAATATATCCTTTGCAGCATTTGCAAAATTATATTAAGGCATCAATTACCATCATCAAAACAAGCACATAAACAACACGAAATGTGTACAGTCTGGTATAAATAATTCTAATTATCATGACAAATAACTGGAAACTAATAAAACTTACTCAGCTACATGGCTTTTGACAAGCATGAAGTATATCCTCCAAAATTGTTGTTCCTTCAAGTGGCGTGGACATAGCTTAAATCTAAGTGTTGCGAGTTCCTAAAAATAGAAAATGATAGAGTTGAGTAATATAATCATGTCAGAATTACTGGGTAGGCAAAGCAATTGCTGAAGCAACAAAAATTAAAATCACTTATGCACATAATAGCATTAAGTTAGAGAAAATATTCAGCAAGCACTAAACATCGCACCAAAATATAGATGGGAAAAATCAAACAGAAAGCCACCAGGAGAACATCATAAAATACAAGTGTGAAGTGCAAACATTATACTTATCAAAGGAACAATGAGAGTGTGCCGAGATCCAACTTGTCAATTACTACACCAATGTCCTTATGGGATCCTTCAGTATATATTTATCCAAAACTTCAAAACAGAGACATTACTGCTAGCTCTGCTCTACCCGAAGTAAAACTAAACTTCTTACCTTCTCCATTAAGTTACATCAGTATGCCAACAAGCATTTGTAGTCCAGCCACTAATTTCACAATCAAGAGGCAAAATTATTTCTAATCTTGCAGAAAGCTTAATAAAAGTCTCTAAAATTATCCACTAAACATCAGAACTTTCTATAAAGTGGGCTTATAACAAATTATAAATCATGGGCACACTAATAAATAAGTAAATTTATTGATTACAAGGTAGCAAATATGAAGAAGTAGACCGAACCTTGACTTTTGAAAGAACCAAGAAAGCATGTCGCTCCTGCCAATCTGAGAGATCCTGCCGTACATTGCCAGAAGAATTTGTAGCAGCTTCCACATCATAGGTAGGTTCCTGGTCATCTGCATCAAAAGGCAGTTAAAAAAAAAAAGAGGCAAAGTTTTGTATGAATTTTTAAACATATAATAAGAGTAAAACTTAAAAAAGAAAAAATCCAACTTGAATGAGATTGTTTAGAAAGGATGAATAAAATTGCTAAAAAGGTATACCTTGGAGAGGGAAATTCTTGAAGGTGTCTAAAGTGAAGGACTTGACATGATCGATTAATTGGTCGGTGACTCCAAGAAGAAGAAGCTCTTCTTGGTCCTGTTTTTGTTGATTTGATTCTGGGGTTTTGGACGTTTTACTACTCTTTGAAAGGCTGCGTCGAAACCATGAAGACAAGTCCATGGTTGTTCCTGGACCTGGGGGCCAGTCGCAGTCGCTCCTCGCCCGAAATTATTTTTTTTATTTAATTAAATTCGCTTCTTCCCCTTTGTGCTTTGTTATAATTTCATAAAATCTTGTAATTATAATTAGCAATGGATTAGGACATATTGGGCCCTAATTAAATGGGCCAAAGTCCAGTTGGTTTATGAAATCTTTGAAATCAAATTGAATTGTAGTCTGTAGATAGAGATTACGGGATTACACAAAACAATCAAAGGTTGTCGGCGGAGAAATAGAGTGGACATAGGATGCTTTAGATCAATCATATTCATGTCTTATCGCGTGCAATGAACAGATGATCATTAATTCACCGCGTGACAAACTTCTCATTGTTTTCGTATCCTCCAACCTGCCTAAATTATTATTTCAACAATAGCCTTGTGTTGGATGGATATCTATCAGGATCTACACCACCACTTCTTCAGCATTTATAATACAAATACTGACAAGAAATAGCTGATATGGATATGGATATGGCCGCATAGTAAAGAAAAATTTGTCAAGTTATATGCAGAGAAAGGTTCGATGAACCCAAGATTTAGGGGTCCTGCCTTTCATGATATGATATTGTCTATGACTAAAAACGGATTGACTATTGAATTTGAGCATGCATGCCGGACATGGATTGAAGACTTTGACTTGGAATAAATTTTTTTTTTTTGGTCCCCATCTAAAGGAAAGAGAAAGGGAAGGAGACGGTGGTGGTGATAGTGGATGTTCTATCATGATCATGGCAAATGATATCATATTTGGTAATTATATGGAGTGGAGGTGGACCAACTGTAATTACCCAATATGCCCCATTCTTGCTCTTGAAGTTACAGATAATGGTAATGGCAATCATATTTATTTATGTATTTATCAAAAGTGGCCGCACCCCCAACCAATCCCTTTCTAAGATTTGACTGTTGCTTCTTACTTTTCTCATAAACTTGTAGACCCAATCACCCCTATTACATTTTGCTATTTACTTTCGACTAGCTTCATCCTATTCCTCCTCTTCACTTTTCATTGCTGGTTTCCCTTTTTTAAGGCTTCTTGGGTTTATAACTATTGGATTTGGTGAATACTTGAATGTGGTCAGAATATCTGTTAGGATAATGCAAAAACTTACCATACCATCCAATCCATTTTATATAGAGGAGCTATTTAATTGAGGACATTTTTGCGTCCTAATCAGTGACAATGAGATTCCTTTTGGAGGAGGAATACAATGAGTCAAAAGAAGAGCAAGCAGGCCCGTCAGAATCATTAGATACAAAGATATCTTTTGGCGGAGATTTCGAAAATCCTACCTCATTGTGATCAACATTATGTATTGATTTGTTACCTAAATTTTAGGCTTTCTTTTCATTATCAGCTAATGGTATTGGTAGCTAATTATTCATTTTATGCTTTTCAAAGAGTTAATTACCTTTTCCTATCCAAATAATGGTTTAATGATACTTTTTTATCTATAGATTTTTAAAATATTACTTTATTAGTTAAATTTATATTTCAACAACAAATAGAGAAAAAATTCGGTCTATTAGGGTTTTTGAAGAGGGGAGACTGATGAGTTTTTTAGTGATAGAATATTGAATTTTGGTGGTTAGAATTGATCAGAATTTAACTTGGAAGGGATGGATATATAAACCTTAATCGCTCGATTGTCACCAATTGATAGATCGACAATAGTAAGATTTGAGGGATTTTAGTAAGTGATTATTGAAGAAGAGAATAGTGATGATATAACGTTATAATGATGTCAAAATCAGAAATAAAATATAAATTGGATAATTAAGTAATATTTTAAAAATCTATTACGTAACAAAATATTATTAAACCATTATTTAGGTGAGAAAAAACCGTTTACTCCTTTTCAAACCATGCCTCTTACCTTTTGGGTTGATTTCCTACTGTAACCGGATCCAAATCTCTTGCTTTCACTTGCATACTGTACATAAGATTACGGAATTGGGTTGTTGTTACACTCCAAATCTCCAATACATATTTACAGAGTCTTTAACTTCAATTTTATAGAAATTGAATTTAACATATATGTGATTGATACCAGCACTATTTGTTTGAGGGATGACATCAGATCACGATACAGAAAACCAGGAAACAAATGTTAATATAGGAAGGCGCGCTCCAGAAAAATCCAATCAGTATAGAATATACAAACTGGTTTTGCCTTGTATCTCCAGTGACTGCCACATCAGCCAAACCACTAACATTAATTAAACAAAAATTCCCAGCTTTAAGTGGGCAAATTGAAGTCAAAATCTACACCAATTCTGTATCTCACAAATGAATGAATGAATGAATATACAAAGTTAGAATAAAGAATTGTTGATTATTTCCACCACAAAAAAAAGCAACCATATGATTCATCATATCTTTTTCATTCAACAATTGGATATGTTTGCTCGTGGACATGTCTTGGGACCCCGATTGCTTCATTAATTGGATAGCTTCCATCAATGACCTAGGCTTATTATTAATCATTCAAAGGTAAAAGGATGAATGTATGTAGTATGTACTATCACCCCGTAACAAGGTATTTGATTTATTGTGCTAGCCAAGCCGGCTCCAAGGTGGTTAAATTATCTTTGATTTGTTGACATTTGGCGCCCATAGGACATGCATCAACTTAAATAAACACTCTGACAGAATAAACTGTAATTGGAAGTTGAAGGAACAGAACAAAAAGTTATTACTGAGAAGGGGGGGACAAAGAGTAAAATGTGTGAATAATGTCCAAAAAAACAACTACTTTTGTTCCCGCTTTTTTGAGGAGTTCTTGACTTTTTTTTTTTAATTTTTTAAAAAATAAAGTTACAAACATCAAACACATGTTCTTTTTGCCCTTCTTTACCTGCTTTTTAAACATTTAATACTCAATTGATTTTGATTGATACTTGTAGTGTAATATAAGAGAGTGATTTAAGCGGATGCAGGTTTAATATCAATTGAAATTTACAGCAAAAACTGAAAAGCATGACCCACCATAGAGGCCCATTGCTTTGGACAATTCTAATCTATGGTTTGACAAAGAAATCTGAAGCTGTTAATCAACACCAAAATCTCCAACTTGGTCTTTCCCTCTCTCTCTTCTTCACTAACTTAATCACTCTTTCTCTTCTCTCTCTTTACACTTGAGTATTTTTCTCTCTTCCTTTCATCACTCTCCTTTCATGGACAACAAGCAGCCTCAGCCGCAGCAGCTCTCCTTGGCCAAGTCTTCGCGCCAACGTTATAGTGAATGGTTGGTTTTTTTTGTTTTGATGGAATTCTATGTGGTATTTATTAAGTTGAACTTATAGTGTTCTTGTGATCTTGTTGTCATTGCTGTTAAAGGGTTGTTTGTGTTTCTCTAGTTCTTGTTTGAGTCAAGCAGTTTCATGTATATTTTATTTTTCTTAATAAGAAAAATAATATATACATGAAATTGCATGACTCAAAAACTAATTAGCGTCCTGCTTCATGTGATCGTGTTCTAGTGATTGCTTCACAATGATCTTCTGAAATTTGATGCTGGGTGATCACTTCATTACTACAAGAACTGTGTAGGAGCTTTTATTATTTAATGGAATTAACTTCACTGAGATTATGTTTATCTTCTGGTATAAATCTAAAGGCTTTCTTAAATGTTGTCCTGATAAAAACAAGAACATTTTGACGAGTGTTCTTTATGTCTCTAAGCAAATTCAACAAGAAGTTTTTCTAGTTGATATCAAATTTTCACTTTGGTGATGGTATTACTCTGTTTAGCAGTTATTGATAGACAGTTATCTTATTATAGGATTTTTCGAGATGTTCCAAGTGATATAACGATAGAAGTGAATGGAGGGACGTTTGCATTACATAAGGTAAGCTCTTGTGTTAATTTATTCTAAATTTATTTGTTTCTGTGCGTCTTGTAATGGTTGGAACTTCATTCTTTCTTCCTTGTCATTAACTTGGTTGTTGTAGTAAAAATAGTTACATATAAATAGTCTCTGGACTTCTACCCTGATGATAGATGTCATGATTTTATAGTAGATGTTTGAGGATGTGTCAGTGGAAAAGGAATATTTTTTTTCTTGAAAAAGGTCAAAAAATTGTAATTTGCGTTAATTTGACTCGGTTATGATATACGATGTTTTTGACCATCTGGGAATTTTTCGATTCACTACCATTCTAACCTACTAATAAGATCTGATTTAGGTTTTAGTCAGGTTATTTGGATTTGAACCTCTTTTCTATTATCTTATCACCGAGGCAATTTTTCTATGGTGAAAGGGGTTTTGACAAATCATAACACTCTTAATTGTTCAATGCAGTTCCCTCTTGTCTCTCGTAGTGGGCGAATCCGAAAATTAGTTGCAGAACATAGAGATTCTGATATCTCCAGGATTGAGCTCCTTAATCTACCAGGAGGCGCTGAAACATTTGAGTTGGCTGCAAAGTTCTGTTATGGTATTAACTTTGAAATAACATCAACAAATGTAGCTCAGCTGTGTTGTGTTTCTGATTATCTCGAAATGACTGAAGATTTTTCAAAAGATAATCTTGGTTCCCGTGCTGAAGAATATCTTGAGAGCATTGTTTGCAAGAACCTGGAAATGTGTGTTGAAGTTCTGCAACAATGTGAGAATCTACTCCCTCTAGCTGATGAGTTAAGGGTAGTTAGCCGATGCATAGATGCAATAGCTTCTAAGGCTTGTGCAGAGCAGATTGCTTCAAGCTTCTCACGCCTGGAGTATAGCAGCTCTGGGAGGCTTCACATGAACAGGCATGCCAAATGTGAGGGAGACTGGTGGATAGAAGATCTTTCCGTTCTTCGGATTGACTTGTATCAGAGAGTAATGACAGCCATGAAGTGTCGTGGGGTTCGTCCTGAGAGTATTGGTGTATCCCTTATGAACTATGCCCAGAAGGAGTTGACCAAGAAGTCCAGCTTATGGAATCCATCAAGTCAAACAAAGGTTGATTTGCTTTCAGGCTTACATGGGCATGAACGACATGTAGTTGAAACAATTGTCAGCCTTTTGCCAGTAGAGAAACTTGCTGTTCCCATCAATTTCCTTTTTGGGCTTTTGCGAAGTGCAGTGATGCTTGATTGTGCAGTTGCTTGTAGGCTCGATCTGGAGAGAAGGATTGCATCCCAGTTGGACATTGCTGCTCTTGATGATCTTTTGATCCCATCCTTGCGGCATGCAGGAGATACCTTATTTGATGTTGATACGGTTCATAGGATATTGGTAAATTTTGCACAACAAGACGATAGCGAAGATGATATGGATGACGCTTCTGTTTTTGAGTCTGACAGTCCTCATTCACCATCCCAAACTGCATTGTTTAAAGTTTCAAAATTAGTGGACAATTACCTTGCGGAAATTGCCCCTGATGCAAATCTCAAGTTGGCCAAGTTCATGGTCATTGCAGAGACTTTACCAGAACATGCACGTACTGTCCATGATGGGTTGTATCGAGCCATTGATATTTACCTGAAGGTATGTTACTGATTTTTTTGTCTCTCTGATGTTTAGACAAAGCTGTTTTTATATGTTCTTCAAAGTAATATGGGAGGGGTGGGTGTGATTAGTTATAATATGAATCCACTTGACAGGGAATCAAATCTGATGCTTGTTGATTCTTTTGACAAGAGCAACTTGCCTCACCAATCCTTCCCAGAAAAATAAAAATGAAGAACTCCTAGCTGCTCCATTAGTATCTTATTTTTATACTAATTAATGAATATTAAAAGTAAGCATACTAGGTTTCGTGGTAATATGGTGCTCCCTTTTATCTTTATCTTTTTTTCCTTTTTGCATTCATATCCAGGCTCATCAGAATTCATCAGATTCAGACAAGAAGAGGCTCTGCAGACTGATTGATTTTCAAAAGCTCTCACAAGAAGCTGGTGCACATGCTGCTCAAAATGAACGCCTCCCACTCCAGTCTATAGTTCAAGTTCTCTATTTCGAGCAGTTAAGGCTCCGCAATTCCTTGTGCTGCTCTTATCCTGATGAAGATCACAAGCCAGTGCATCAGTCATGGCGGATCAGCAGCGGTGCACTCAGTGCAGCAATGTCTCCACGAGACAACTATGCATCATTAAGGCGAGAAAACAGAGAGCTAAAACTTGAATTAGCTCGTTTACGGATGAGGTTAAATGATCTAGAGAAAGAACACGTTTGTATGAAGAGGGATATGGAAAAGTCTCATTCTCGTAAATTTATGAGTTCTTTCTCAAGGAAGATTGGTAAGCTGAGTTTCTTTGGTCATAGTTCTTCAAGGGGTTCAAGTTCTCCCTCAAAGCATTCTTATAGAACAGATTCTAAGGTGATTGAAAGAACATGTGCAAGCACAGATTAGGCAATTCAGGTTACCTAGAATCTTTTCTCTGTATTTGTCATGTAACTGCTAGCCATGCTCTTGATGACCACGTTATTCTCATTAATTTCCGTTTGCCCTCCTTGTATATGAGTTGCGATGCTTTGGGTTAGCAAGACTGGGGCTCTTTTTGAATACAAACTATGGTTTTTGGGGAAGTACAAATTTGTTGTTGCCTGAGTTTTAATATCTAAAAAGCAATTTGATGTAAACAGGTGGAAAATGTTCATTATAGATATTTTTACTTGACATAAGCGTTCAAATCATGAACTTTCGCAACCTCTACATGTGGGTGCTTGCATAACCTGATTTTTCTCGACCATCTTACTAATTTTTTCAATATTGCAAATAATATCTAAATGATCTTAAATTCTAGTTAATATATTCTCAAATCGAAATTATCTCAGAGCAATTATTTTCTTCATTTCTACAATCCTTGTGTTGTTTGATTAAAATGAGGAAAGCCCAACAAATAAAAGCAGTGGCATCTTCAGTGGAGTGAAACCAGGTTACATCTGAGGTCTGATGAAGAATGAAATTCTCAGAGAAAAGGTTTGTCCTCTGAAGAACGAATAAGAAAGGAAAATCCTTAGGTTTATAGGAATCAACAAACTAAAAATCCCGGAAACTCTGATGAAGTATCCGTCGTAGTTATCTGTAGCTTGTCGTCTTTCACTGGCAAGACAAAAGAGACTCTAAGATTTCGTGACCTACGGACACTGTCCTCTTTCCTTAAACAAGACTTCAATCTGGTAACCTCTTTACTATCTTCAAACTCTATCTCATCATCTTCTGTTCTACGGAATTTCGCACTTGTTTTACTGTCAGTAGAAAACTTATCTTTAGCATTGAATGATCTGGACCATCTGGTCACACTAGTGTATTTCTCTTCAAATTCTAAGTGGGTATTTTTGCACTTGACAATCACGTCAGGCCAGCAAGAATAAATTTGGGGTGGTTTTCTGACTCTCTTATCATAGCTTTTCTCCCGGCGACTAATCGCAGTCAAAGACATGGTTCTTAGTGGATGTTGTTTGATGAATTTGCTGTGCTCTTGGTGTTTAGGTGTCATTCCTGCAGAAGACCTGAGTAGTGAAGTTCCTTTAAGGAGTGGAGCCTGGTTTTGCCGTGAAGATTGGTTGGGTGGCCCTTTAACTTTTAACAAGTGATAGATTGTGAGATTTGGAACAACGTAAAACACTCTTCCCAGATTCAATATGGACTCAGGTCTAACTACAATCCATGGATATTGAAAGACATCCGGCCGAGTGACACTGTGCCTTGGGTTCTTCTTTATAACTTCAGCAGCAGTTATCGGTTCTCTGAGAATCTCCACATACCCACCTGGATGGACTAGTTTCAGCACGCCCTTCTCGCTTGATACGGCTCCCATTATTACTTTAGATTTACTAAATGCGAGGAAGAAGAGGAGATATGAGACACCACCTTGCTCCTTCATATACTGTTTCTTTGCTTTACCCGGTGACAAAAACGGCGATAAGTTCGAAAAAACATCATTGGAGGAATAAAATAAGTATGCGAAGTTGTTCTCATTAGATAATGTTCCTAAGATAAATAGAAAGATGTGGAGTCCTTCAGGGAAATATCCTTTTTGTTCTTAAGTGTTGTTGGCTTCTGCTTTAGCTGTAGTCTTTGTTGTTGGATTGTTCTTTATGTTTGTCTGTAGGCTGTAGCCTAGATTTAGTTATCCACAAGTGATGTTATGAATGAAGACTTTCAAATTCTCTCGTCAGGCCATTAAGAATCATCTCGTTATACACAAAGTTTCTGTTTTTCTGATAAACTTTTTGGAATTATATTGCAAAGACAAAAGTAAAAAATATGTTAAGGGAGAACAAACTGGAAGCAAATGCTGAAGTTACACTATGCTGTTGGATGTAAACACTTTTTGTTAGACGGTATAAAAAGCCTAAAAGAGTGTTTTCTAGCAACAAAATTTGAAGAACAAAACTTGGGTTTAGGGATTATAGTATATGCTTTCAACAAATGCTTTCCTTTCGTGGGTTGGTTTACCTATCTTGATCTAACTTATTTGTTTGATTACTCTTATGAGTTCCCAACCGGCATCTTTAGAAGATGCAAGCACAGAATTCTGGACAAGAAGGGAAGAAATTTCATATTTAATATTGCTTCTTCATGAATGAAATTGTTTTTTATTTGGTTTCTTAATACCTCCACAAGGGGCATTGTCAATTGGGTATAATCTTTGATTTAAGTTGTAAAGAAAGTGAAATTTGATTTGATAAGCTCAGTGACATCACTTTGAAGAGTTTAAGCAGGAAAATAAAATGGGTTTCAACAGGTCTAAGCCAAACCGGCCTCCAGTGGAATGGATAGCACACATTTGAGGACAAAAAAAGAGGAGAACAACATTGAAAATGATGTATAAAAAAATTGAACCAGGTGTACCATGTTGACAAGAATTAGCTGTAATGGCTTCTCTAACAAGAATTAGAGTACTATGTGATTCATGTACTTGATTAAAGATTATATCTTTATTTTTAATTTTTTGCGGGTAATCAATTTGGGTCAAAAGATTCTGCAGTTTTCGTCTTTTCTGGAGACTCTACAACGCTCTTTGTATATTTGCCGTTTACGGAGCCACCTTTAAGGCTGCGTCCATTCCTCAAAGACGAAATATTTTGGACGAGGTTGATAGTTTCCGTGCTACAAAAAATATATTTTTGAGTAAACCACATATTCCCACCCAAGGTTTGACAAAATCTCAAGTTAGTATCCCAGAATATATTTATTCCAGATTCCCACCCTTCAAAATTCAAATAACAGTGTTATCAATTTTTAGGGTTTAGAGGGTACAATTACCATAAAGCCCTTAACCCTAAATTAATAAATTGTCTTTTAACCCCTAAATTATTAGAATTATAAAACTTATCATTTTATTTTCAAATTTTGTCAAAAACACCCTCGATCACTACACACCCTCGTCAGAAACAACCCGATCTAGGTTGTTTCCTAAGACGCCGAACCCTCTGGTCACCTCCATCACCTTGCCTATAGTCCGTCGTCCAAAACCCCTCTGGTTCTCGACTCATTGGCCCCTCCAATCGCCGGCACCGTTAGGCTTAGGGTTTGAGTGTTCTTTGTCGGATTTCGACGGCAAAAATCCAATTGGACACTACCACTACAACCACCGCCTCTAAATCTATAAAACCCTTATGTCCCTAACAACCGTTTTATCGCCATTTGCCGGCCGAGAGTTCGTGTTCATCGGCCGTTTTTTGGTGAAGTGGTGGACGGCAAATGGTGAGCTGTCGTGGCTGGAAAGGTTAGGGGTTTTGTAGGGGAGGATGCGAGGAGTCAAATGGTGGTGGTAGTTGGGGTTCTTGCCGTTCAAAACGACCGAAAATCGGCAAAAACCAATCGCCTATTGTGACTGCCGTGGCCAGTGATCGGCAAGTGAGATTAGGGGTTGTGAAGGGTATGGATTTGTAGAGGGGAGGATGGGGGTTCAAATGATGGTGATAAGGGTGATTTTGGGTGGAAGAATCGCGGGAAAAAGAGCGAAAAACGTCGAGGACGTGGTCTGCTAACATGCGCCGCCCATGTAAAATGACCAATTTACCCTTTTATCATTACATCAAATATTTTTCCGTTACTTTAAGGGTGAGAATTTGGAATAAATGTAACCTAGGGTACCAACTTAGGATTTCATCAAACCTGAGGTGGGAATATGTCGTTTACTCTAAAAAACAAAAAGTATAAATTTAAAGACCATTCTCACGTAAGATTATCTCCAATTGTGCTTTTTATTTTGAAAAGCATCTTTTATATAAATAAAGAGCATCTTTATTAATTTTTAAATATAAAGAACATAATTTTTATTCAAATCCAATACTCTTTAAATTTAATGAAGATGCTCTTTATTTTTAAGAAAGAGACTTAATGGGAGAGAGAACTAATAAATAAAATGTATAGGAATTTATAGTTTATTAATTAAAATTAGGATAGAGAATGAAATTTGACTTTCTAAATGTGGAGAGCCAAACTCACTCTCTAATTTATATTTTAAAGATAAAGAGTATGTTAAACTTTTGTTTTATGAATAAACTCTTTATAATAAAGAATTTGTGTCATATAAAGAATCATTTATAGATGATCTAAACAGTCTGCATATTTATCTCCTTTTGTGCAACGAGTGGTTTCATTCAGGTTTTGCTTTCAAATGTGGTCCATTTCGCTTTGCGGCTGCTTGAAGGTCTTGTGTAAGTCATCATTGATCAAGCTCCTCAAAGCCGTAAACCTTTTTCTAATTACTGATATCATTTCTTTATATAAATATTTTGCGAGTATAAAGCTTAAACAAGATCCATTTACATTCAGAAAGTCGCATTGGTCAAATGATCTTCCATTTGCAAATGAAGGAGAAAAATAGCCAAGCAGAGAACTTAACAGGGAAAAAGTACTGGGAAAGGAATGACAAAAACAAGCACATATTCTCAGTCTCACAAGACAAATATCCCACATTCCCTGGGGAAACCGGTTTCAAATAACTAGTGATGAGGGGTGCAATCGTAACTGATAAAAACTTATTGTAAAGATCTCTCAAATTTGGTCTTCCAATTTATATTTTAAGCAGATTTGGTATAGAAACGAATGCCAAAAGCCAAGCCCAATATTAGCAGAGGAACTAGGAACTGGAGTAGCTTTATAACAAACTCCTGTGTCTTGTCTTGGTTGTAGTGAGGCTGCTTGGGAGGTGTGTACTTCACCTTGGTGGGAATGGTTGATGAATCGATGTGTCCTACACACAACTCGTCCATCATAGCTTTTGCACTGCTACTGTGACCAACATCCTCAAAGTCGTCAGTTGCATCCTTTCCTGCAAACCATACATCAAAATTGTGGCATCAACAGGTATATGCAGACAAGTCACCTGTATTTGTTCAAAATTAAAAACTGACAAAAATGATGATGTAATTTCTAGCTTACCTGTGGCGGACAACAAAACCTCATCACCACCAGGATGGTCGTCCAAGAATTTTGTCACATCGTATACCTGTTCCAACACATTAGTAAATGCAATTCAAGGAGAGCACAAATGACAATTTAATCTGATCCAAGATAAATATATACTAGAGTTCACTCAATTGATATATAATAACTGTAAGTTGATATGCTTAATATGGATTTTCACAACTACTAAGGTTAACGATTTTAAAGTCCTCATGACTTGTGTTCATAACCAGCACTAAGAATACAGGGCCTAGCCATACTACCAGCCAACTTGATTAATAACACCAGGATTGCTGTCACCTCAATATTTAGCAAATCCCAAGATTAACAATTATCATAGTGAAATCTCTGACTACAGTCCATACTGTGGGATCCTTGTTCTTCACTGTCTTCTGTATTGAGACACTCCTCATAGGCAATAAGTTCACCAATATGTAGGCCACACGATTAGATAAGAATTGCTAGTCATTGGTGACCCTTGGATTGCCTTCCCAAGGAGTAATACCATAGAATTGCCATATATTAACTATCAGAAATTATAGTAAAACAACTACCACAACAATCAAAAAATTCAACAGCCATCGTCCCGGTACTCACCGAGATTATTTCCAAAAATAGTTGCAATCAAGATGTTCAGTCTTTCTCACCAAATTTTCATTAACCATTACAATTATAATTTTAGTAACATTTTAAAATCATGTGATTTTCACTGACTTCTCCATAGAATGAACACAAGCATTATACATTCAGAGTAACCAAAAGAGCACAGGAAATAAAACCACTCTACAGAGATATGAAGACTTCTCAACACAATCTGACCACAATCTCCCTTGCACTCCCAAAGAAATTCACAAAAAGGCAAAAAATAATTCCATAGCTCCATGTACAATTAACTAAAATAAAACAAATAGAGGATAAATGTTGCAAAATATACCGATCCCTCACAGCAGTATGCAAACAGTGAAAAAACAGATGCATCAACCAAAACTGATAACAATGGAAAAATGTAATAGATGACATTGATCCATAATAACAATCAAATATTTCATCAATCTGTTAACAATATATAGTTTCGAACTGCCAACATTTCAAAAGCACACACATTTGAACCTCGGATTCCCATTTTGTCCTCTACTACCAAAACTAATGTGTTTCCTGTGTTATATAAGTCGAAAACTAGATATTAGGGCCGAAGAATGGATGTCGACTTATCCTATTATTGCCCCCACAAAGATTGTGGTAACAATTATTTCTTTGACCAATAACGGTGATCATTCAGGTTGAACCAATCAATTATAGGTTCAAATCTCTGGTAAATTCTATAGCTATATAGACAGATCCCATCCCTAACGGCCTTACAATAAAAAATCTTAATATCACGCAACAATCAGTTTTAAAAACATAATGAAATGAATGAGAAAGGAATTGAATGTCCCAATCTTATGCATGCATATAACATGCGCAAAAAGTGAAGCTTTGTAAGAGATCTAAGCAAACCGATTCAAAAAATTTCAGTATCACGAGGAAGAAAGAAAAGCATCCGAGATCAGAACAATATGGTAAATAAACACACAGAAGCATAAGGTTCACAATAAGAATCAATCAAGATCCAATCAGCAAGAGTATGTAGGTTTCAATTAACCAAGCTTTCCAGTTCGCATAATGATGAAAATGAGAAGGATATATACCTTGCCGTCAATGACAAGCCAACAATCTTTGGGGGAGTTGTGCTCAGAGACCTCAGCCAAAGTGAATACCTTTCGCTCTCCACCCATTTGGTTTGTGAGAGAAAGAAGAAGAAAAGGAGAGAGTTAAAATTGAAGCTAAGTTGGTGAATGGAGTTTCGGGATTTGGCAAATAAAAAAGGGGAGAGAGGGGATGGGTTTGGTGAAGGGTGAGGGTGAAGGTGAAGGTGAATATAGATGCGGTACTGGTATAACGGGGTTGGTGAGTGGTGGGTTGGCTCTGTCGTCAACCACCTCTATTTCTTTTTTATTTTCTTCCACTGCTATTTCTTCAAATTCCCAATTGTCACCTAGAGTTTTATATTTTTCAAAATACGTACAGTTAGTTATCAAATCAAATCCAGCCAATTACGTGTTGTTTGATTTTAAATTTTTTGTCAACTTAAATCCATAATTCAAATTCAAACTGTCCATTATTACTCACTAAAAACATTTTTAACTATACTATTTATTTGAAAAAGCATCTTTCATATAAATAAAAAATATCTTTATTAATTTTAAAATTAAAGAACACAATTTTTATTTAAATCCAATAAACTCTTTAAATTTAATGAAGATACTTTTTATTTATAAGAAAGAGATTTAACGAGAGAGAGAATTAATAAATAAAATGCATAAGAACTTGTAATTTATTAATTAAAATTAGGATAGAGAGTGAAATTTGACTCTCTAAATATGGAGAGTCAAACTCACTCTCTAATTTATATTTTAAATATAAAGAGTCGGACTATTGTTTTTATGAATAAAAACATCTCCAATAGTGCTCTTTATTTTGAAGAACATCTTTCATATAAATAAAGAGCATTTTCATTAATTTTTAAATATAAAGAATACAATTTTTATTCAAATCCAATAAACTCTTTAAATTTAATGAAAATGCTCTTTATATTTAAGAAATAAACTTAATGGGAGAAAGAATTAATAAATAAAATACATAGGAACTTGTAGTTTATTAAGAGAGTGGAATTTGACTCTCTAAATGTGGAGAGTCAAACTCACTCTCTAATTTATATTTTAAAGATAAAGAGTATGTTGAACTCTTGTTTTTATGGATAAACTCTTTATAATAAAGAGTTTGGGTCATATAAAAAGTCATTTGGAGATGCTCTAAACTGTTTATTTATAAAGCGTTAGAGCATCTTCAATAGTGCTCTTTATTTTGAAGAGCATCTTTCATATAAATAAAGAGCATTTTTATTAATTTTTAAATATAAATAACACAATTTTTATTCAAATCCAATAGACTCTTTAAATTTAATGAAGATGCTCTTTATTTTTAAGAAAGAGACTTAATGGAAGAGAGAATTTATAAATAAAATGCATAAAAACTTATAATTTATTAATTAAAATTAAGATAGAGAGTGAAATTTGACTCTCTAAATATGGAGAGCCAAACTCACTCTCTAATTTATATTTTAAAAATAAAGAGTATGTTAGACTCTTATTTTTATAGATAGACTCTTTATAATAAAAAATTTGGATTATATAAAAAGTCATTTAAAATGCTCTTAAGTCACATAAAGAGTCGTTTGGATATGCTTTAAGAATTAATTAGGCACATAAAACATACCCGTTTTTAATGGTTAAAACATAATCTACTACTGACTTCCTACTACTATTTAATTTGCTGTCATATTTAAATAATTTTATTTAATGCTCAACAGTTTTCTCAGTCTATCTGCAACCCACCTTCTAATAATGAATCTAGTGTTAAATATTTATAGCAAACCAACCACCATTGCCCAAACAATGCAGTTCTTGGATGGTAGGTAAGTGATTAGAATAGATAGTTAAAAGTCCATTTTGGCAATAATTAAGTTGAATATTTATTTATTTAAATTTTTGATGATGCAAATGTAGTTGAGTTGACCTTAAAAAATTTGGACATTCAACAATAATATTTTTTAGATATATATACCTATGCCACATTGCCACATACTTAGGGTGGAATATTGTGTTAGTGTCATGTCATTCTCAACCAATTAGAATACCAAATCAGAATTATTGTGGCTCAATACTATATAATATATGCTTTCAATTCTTAGAATATTTATTTGTTTTCGACTTATTTATTTGAAACTGTTTTAGACACTTTCATCCTTAATTGTTATTGGGCCTCCATTTCACTGATCCAATTGTTTTGGATTTTAGTGGGCTTAGGTCTTGGGCCAACTAACTCAAAATACTGCCCCGAACCTGCCCACGAAGTGAGTTGAGAGAAGCTGCGTATAACCCTAGAAACCCTAGCTCCTTTCTTCCCTCATATAAATCATATACTTGGAAATCTCCTCGGCCAGAGAGAGAGAGAGAGAGGTAGAGTGAGAGGGAGAGAAAGTGAAAGCAAAAAATGGTGTCAGGATCGGGAATCTGCGCGAAGCGGGTGGTGGTGGATGCTCGGCACCACATGCTAGGTCGGCTGTCGTCGATCATAGCGAAGGAACTCTTGAACGGACAAAAAGTGGTGGTGGTGCGTTGCGAAGAGATATGTTTGTCAGGTGGACTTGTTCGTCAGAAGATGAAGTACATGAGATTCCTTCGCAAGCGTATGAACACTAAGCCATCTCATGGTCCCATCCACTTCCGTGCCCCTGCCAAGATCTTGTGGCGCACTGTTCGTGGGTTCGTCTTTTATACTCTCACTTTTTGTTGTTTTCAAGTGAAATGTGTTTATGTTTAAATGTTTTATTGGTTTCTATAGGATTCTAAGTTGAAAGCTATACTGAACTGAACAAATTGATATTCGTGCTTTATTGACTCTGTTTAGCAAAATGATTGTAGTTAATCTATTCTGTTTGGTTGAGAAAACTAGTAACAAGTGGGTATCATTTGCTGTTTAATTTGTTTTAGTAGAACTAATTACAGTTAGTCGGCCTGAAGTTCAGTTCAATATTTTAGGAGTCAGTGTTTTTTTCTCTTTTTTTTTTTAATTTTTTTAACTTCTATGGTTTCTTTACGCTCTTGTCATTGGTTTTTTAATGTTTTGTTGCAGAATGATACCCCATAAGACCAAGCGTGGAGCTGCTGCACTTGCTCGATTGAAGGCTTATGAAGGAATCCCTCCACCATATGACAAGATGAAGAGGATGGTTATCCCTGATGCTCTCAAGTTAGTTTTCATTGTCTACACTTAATTGGGGTTGTTGAAAAATTTATCGCATTGATTTTTTTCCATTTATTGACTGTTTTTCACTGTTTGGCTTTGAACCAATTATAAAATAGGGTGTTGAGGCTTCAGAAGGGTCACAAGTACTGCTTGTTGGGTCACCTATCATCTGAGGTTGGATGGAACTATTATGACACCATCAGGGTGAGTTTTAGTTGTTTTGTTTCTCTTATTGTGTAAACCTGTCTTCTTGTTTATTTGTGATTTCTTTTTCCATTTTATATAAAAATACTTAACATAGAAGTCAAGCGCAGTTTGCAGTGTTATTATCTCTTCCTTTCTCTCGAATTGTATGGGTATTTCAGATACATGTGCTTAGTGAAGTATCCAAGTAGGACTTTGAGTGTACCTCTTTCTATTTATAGAATGGTTCCACAAACCTGATCAGATATGTAAATGAAGTTTTTTTTGAGTTGGTCGTTTTTTTACCAGTGCTATGTCAGATTTTGTTTACCATGTGTTGATGGTCAGCAAGCAAATTGCATGTTTCCTCTGTATGTACTTTCTAGCAATTTTTTGCTTCTTGTTGTCTTTCGTTATTTTTAGTGTTTCTATCAAGCTAGTGTAGAATTCATCTGTAAGTAGTCTTGGTTTTGCAATTGCATTTTTACTGGTTGATCCTGGTGATGGAGCATCATTTGCAAAAAAAGATGTAAAGTTGGGAGATGACCTTATTTTAGTAGTTGTTTTCGAATTTACTTATGGAAGATTCTTATGTCATGATTAATGATCAAAATTTTTATGCAAATTTCATTCATATGTGCCCTCTCTTACCACAGGAGCTGGAGAAGAAGAGAAAAGAAAGGGCTCAGGTGGTTTATGAGAGGAAGAAGCAGCTGAACAAACTTAGGGTGAAGGCTGAGAAGGTAGCAGATGAGAAGCTTGGCACCCAACTAGACATCCTTGCTTCCGTCAAGTACTGAGTAGTCAGTAGTTAGTTTCATACAATTTTGTTGAGGATTGTCTCGAATGTGCTTTCAGTTTTTATGTTTCAAGACCTTGAAGCTGAGAATTTGATAGAACTTGAGCAGTTACCTTTTTTTTTTTCCCTGCTTGTGGTTGTAGAATGATTTTGTTATACCTTAAGATATACTGGTATTTTTGGTTGACAAGATTTCAAAAACTGAATGAGAATTTTGTTTAACGAATTAAGGGTGCTGAATGATAGATTGCCCCGCACGCATCATTTATATAGAATATAAGTTGCGCCTGAGCAATTTATTGGATACTAACTTTAAAACGTGGTTAGAAACAGAGACCGAAAAATGCTTTATAGCGGCTAGTACTACACACTACACAATATTTATAACTTTAATTTCAACTTAATATCGGAAATTCAATTCTTTTTTAGAGTAATATGTGCAAGCCAAGTTCCTTAAAACGTTTGTCTAAGCAGCTGCTAATGCCCAATTTGAGCTAGGACTGTAAAAGAGTCGAGCTTTTGGCTTATCGAGCTCAGCTCGTTTACAATAGTGCTCGAGCTCGAGCTTGAGCTTGGCGAGCCTCAGAATTGAGACTCGAACTCGAGCTTGAGCCTGGCGAGCCTCAGAATTGAGACTCAAACTCGAGCTCGGTCGAGTTCGAGTCGAGCTTGAGCTCGATAAGGCTCGCGAGCTCGAGCTCGATATCGGGTCTATCAAACCACCATTTCTCCAGGTTTGATTGAGCCAATTTCTCCTATTTTACAGCAATCTTCATGCGTACAACATTGTATATTTACATCCAATGCTGAATTAACCATGACAGTTTCAAACTTTACAAAATCAAAAAACAGTTCTGAATATATACAAACAACATTCCAAGGTATGAAAATACAATCCACCAATCAAAATCACTATCAACCAATAGTCTGCAATAGGTATGTCTTTGATGAAAACCACAATTTCCCTCTGCCTGTAGAAAATGTTCAATTTAGTAAGTATTTTTTAAGGTAACTATGACAAGAAAAAAATATGTACAATTATGAAACAAAAGCAAAAGGAATAAAACTTTTACCTATGCATGCCTCCTACCACAGCCAAACCATGCACTGAATCCCATGAACTTACGGGATAGGAAGGTTGATCTCCAACGGTTGCTGCTCTTCCTGAAAATGACAAAGGAGGAGTAATTGAAGTTTAGTTAGTATAAATATAAAGTAATAATTAAATTTAATAAAAACAATATTCAATATAAGTATATAACCTACTTTACATCCTTTCTTCACCCCATTCAATATCCTGCTCCAATCACATCCACATAAGAGCATTTCCACCGTGTTGGGAGTCAACAACGAACGGTATGTGTCAATAAACCTACTGCTGGCGCTGAAAGCAGACTCAAAAGCAACCGTAGTAATAGGGATGGCTAATATGTCACGAGCCATGGTAGACAAGATAGGGAACTTTGTTGAATTAGCCTTTCACCAGGTCAAAGCATCAAACACCATAGGGTCCCCAACATATTTATGACATCCTTCTCCCAGGTAATAGTCTAACTCTGATTTCGTTGGCTTAACTGTCTCAACCACATCCAGAAACTGACTAAAATCATCCCAATCATCCACCCTCTCTGCCGCTGCCCTCGACCCCTCACCAACAACCTGAACTCCACCCCCTGTAGATGCAGAAGCGCGGGCATCTGTCAATGCTTTACTGGCATCAACATACTCCCTATATACCTCATACAAGGCATCTCGAACAACATCCATATTTGCCCGTGCTCCAGGCTCAGGAAACATCTTAGGGAACGCCCATTGAATTACCCTCATCTTCAGTCTAGGGTCCAAAACAGCAGCCACGCCCATCAATAGATTACATTCTCCACAATATTTGTCAAACTTTTCTTTCATTTTCCAAATCATGGTCTATATAAACTCATCTCCATCATGACTCTTACTATCCAACATAATTTTTATTGTATAAACTTGTTTTATAAACAAGTTTGATGTCGGATAATCACTTCCCGATATCAGATTTGACGCACCACTAAACACCTTCAAAATTGAACAAATTTTCTCAACTTTGTCCCAATCCTCCTCCTTGGGACAATAATGATAACTCAAATCCCCCCCCCCCCCCCCCCCCCCCTTTAAACAAGGGAAAACACGCCTAAATTTCATTGTCGTTGTCAACATATCATATGTTGAATTCTATCGCGTTTTGCAATCAAGAATAAGCTTGCGAAATGGCAATCGGCACTGCTGAACAATCTCTGCAAACACCTTTAGTCTACTCTCTGATGAATTGATATAAACCACGGTATCACGGATGTCCTCAATAATGTGTCTAATATGATAAAGACTATCTTGAACAACAAGGTTCAAGATGTATGCACAACACCTCACATGAAACATCTTGCCCCCACATATGAGCTTCCTCGTAGCTTGGAAATTATCTTTCAACACTTTTACTGCAACATCATTGCTTGAAGCATTATCCACCGATATCGTGTGGACCTTAGCTTCAATTCCCCAATCCATCAAACACTTGAAAATTACATCAGCAATGGCAACACCAGAACGCGGAGGAGGGAAATGAATAAAGTTCAACACCCGTCTATTAAACTTCCAATTATCATCAATCTAATGCCCAGTCAAGACCATGTATTCCATCCTCTGGTCGCCTGAATGCCATAGATATGTGGTCAGACTTATCTTCCTAACACCCTTCAATAGGGCCAGCAACGTCTGCCTCTCATTTTCAAACACTCTCATACAATCATTCGTACAAGTATTACAGGATATCGGAGTCCATTCAAGAATCCCGTACTTCATCATGTTATTCAACCCTTCTTCCTCCACAATAGAAAATGGATGCTCATGCATCAGCACCCAATGTGCAATAAGCTCCCTCATCTTCATCATATTGAATTGGCCACGTAGAGCATGCAGGATAGTGAAGCCACCCTAAGAATTGGAAGGGGGGAAATTTATTTGTTGTTGCCTCAAGTGAGCTGTTCTCTTCGCACACCTTTTCAAATGTCTATTGAATTGTGTTGTGCTTCCACTGGCAGTCATTTTCAACTTTGTTTTATAATGAATGCACTCTCCCTTCCTTGTACCACCAGGGAGAACCACCTCCCTAAATTTTGACCACACAGCTGATGTCTTCGCTCTCTTCTTCCTCTCTAGTGGACTGTCATTGTCCTCAACATTTTCGGGGCTACTCACACTTTGCTCGGTACCACCTATGCTTTCATAAATGTTACGCCGATTGACTACTGTTACCGTAACACAATCATGGACGTTATCCAATGTAGGGGTGCTTGAGGAACAGTCTCCCGATGCCATACCTACAATTGAAAAATGAATTAACCACTATCGTTAGACAATATCATAAAGTTAAAATAATATATAATTGATAATTTTGGTTCATTTTTGACATGCTTAATAAAATAAATTAATCATTTTCATTTCCATTTTCATTTCCATTTCCATTTCCATTTCCATTTCCAGCAACAAGTGAAGCAGTTCCAAGCTAAACAAACGAACAAGATGATAGGTGTTACTGATGGGTGAAATTAAATTAAGTAACTTATTGAGACAACAAACAATTGATTCAGTTTCTCAACCAAATTGAAAGCTGTAGAGTGTCAAAAGATTATAATATAAGATGGCATTAAGAAGACAATTTCATATGTGCATAAGAATATTCAAAGGATCAGGCAATATTTTAACTTGGTTTTAATCTTTTATCCTTCTTAAAAGCCCTGTCTCTTGCCTCCAAAGTGTACTTGGCATTGAAAAATTATATTCATTCATGAAAGTCAATTAGCAGCTTTAGTATTTATACGTACCATGGGCAAATGCAATCGTATGATTCATAGCACAAAATTCCCACTCACTTTTGCAGTTCGCATTTCATAAGTACATATTTAAATGATCACTAGAGTCATCTTATTAAATTAAATGTAATGAGCAGATTGTATCTTGCAAATTGACTTTGAATGAATGTATTGTATAGCTTTAATGGAAAACACCTCTCTTTAGATGTGGTTCCCTTTATTTATACATAAATCCTCCAAAATATCACCTCTGTTTTTAGTGGCAACAGTGGCATAGATAAGTTAAAGTGACAGAAATTTCATTTGCTACTAGTTGTGGAAGAAACACAGAAAAGAAAGATGTCAAGCAAGTAAATATCTTCTATCATAGCAAGGTAGGAAGCCATTTCATTGCAACGGATTGAACTACAACAGATCTATATGCCATGTTTTTTATATGCTTGTGGCAAGTATATTTGTGAAACTTTGAAATAAATATAAAAAGAAAACTGATTCTCAAACCCCTTTCGCATGTGCAATTGTTTAGAGTACTACTACTTGATCTTGCAAAATGATTCACTAAACTCAAAGCAGATAATATCCCAACTGAGAATAAACAAAACAGCTAAACTGGCAGCAATCTAAAACCACTGCTAGAAATTAGGTGCAGATGTTTGCGAGTCTTATTAATTACTAAAAAATTCATAATAAAAGGTTTCTTCAAGATCAATTTTCCAAGAGACTTGACTGAGTGGAAGAAGGCTTATGCAAGATAGAAAAAGGAAAAGAACAACAAAAGAAACAGAAACATCCAGAGCACAAACATCAGGAATGATCAACAGTCAACACTCTGAAAATGTACCAACTCACCCAAAAAGCATCAAACAAAAAAAAGCACCAGCAAGCTACACTCCACACACAACAAACTAACCTGGCAGTTTCAGAGATTTTCAGAGTGTCTGCAATTTTGGGTCTCTTTTTTCGGTTGCCGAGATCAGAGATGGCGGCGGAGATTACTGATTTCACGGCGATGACTCATGTCTAGTTCGCGATTTGGAGGTTCTTTATTTGCGATTTGGGATTTAGGGCAAGTGGGAACTGAAATTGATTTGGTGTATTGACTGTATTCGTGTTATACGAATTTGCACTCTGGGGAGGAAACTATCATTTTTTAAACTTTTTTCACTAGAAAATATCAATTTAATACCGCATGGTTTAAAAAATACCAAAGCACCCTGCGTAAGTGCATAGTGTTTACGCGAGCTGCACCAGGCTCGCGAGCCCACTAGCCGAGCTTCACTATGTTCGAACTCGACTCGGTTAACAAACCGAGTTTGAGTCGAGTCGACTCGATAATAACCGAGTT